GGCCCAGGGGCCAGCCAGCGTCAGGGGAAGGGCCGGCCACGTGCTTCCGGCCTCCATTCCCCACCGGATGGGCTGCGTGGGTCTCACATTCCCAGATCAGGCAGCTCTCAAAAAGGACGGTCCTATTGGGCATAACCCCATCTGAGCTGCAGTGACCTGGGTCTACGGTCCTGCTAGACAGGTGACCCTCTCTTGTAGCCAACAAACACTCTTGATGTCCAGCTTTTGCAAATCACAGGTGAGGGCCGAGGCATCATGCAGTAAGGTCCTGGGTACTGACCGTGGGCTTGCAGGGGCCCAGCGCTGCACAGCCCTGGTCCTCGGAGCCCCCCTCCAGCTCTGGCACCGACCTGGCCAAGGCGTCCTGGGTCTCCTGGAGGTAGGCGGTGCTTGGGTGGGGGTGGGCAGTGGGAGGTGGGGGTGGTGTTGGCTGGCCAGCTGGTGGGGTAGAGGGAGATGGGCAGGGCCGCGCAGGTGGGAGGCATCCCAAGTTTTTCCAAAGAGCACTTGGGAGGGAATATTCTCTCTCCGGCTTTGCGTGGACAGATCCCAGGAGGGAGACAGACTGGCAGGACTCCTGAGATGCCCTGTTCAGTCCTGACTGGGGATGAGGGTAGGGAGGACAGATGTGCTCCCAGAAGCTCCCAGCCACGAACCCCTGGGTCCCTTGGTGGAGGAGCCACGCATGTGGACAGTGAGGCCTTCCATGCCGGGAGCCGATCCATCCAGCCTTCCTGATGGCACAGCCTGGGCAGCCGGCGGAAGGGCAACGCACAGCGACCCTCCGAATGGGAAGCTACTGGTATCCCTCCTCTTACTCATCATGGCCATCCCCATGGTCCAATTGGCACTGATGATGCAAAAGAAACCCATGGGGGCAAACTCGGGGATATTTTCTGGGGATGACCCCCAGGACAAAAAAGAAACCTTCTATCCAGCCAGTGCCACCCCCGCCTGCCCGTCCCCTACCTAAAGGAAGGATAGCCCCATATGTTTCCCAGCCAGGGAGGGGGGCACACGGGTTCGAAAGCCCCACTCCGGCAACAAAGCAATGTCTCTATGGCTATGAGTTGCTCCAACCCCTAGGCCCACTTGGCCCCCAGGAGGCATTCCAGATGGTAACTGGACCCGGTGGGTTAAGGTACAGAATGGTTCATTAGTTCCCGGGTATACGTTGTCTCTCTGGGAGCGCATAAGGTGTGGGTTCCCAGCCCTCTTGGCTCCCTCCAGGCACCCCAGACCAAAGCGAATACTTTTGTTCCTTCTACCGCAAACAGTTCAAAGGAACAATGAAGAAGTCATGTCCCTGTAAACGTTCCACTCGAGGTGTTGAGAGCTAGAGGACCTTTCACGAAAATAGCAAAGCAAATGCTTTATAGACTATAAATAAATAAACGTAGATACATAATGAAAATAATATGAAGAAATTACTCGATAAGCAAAGGCCAGGAGGGAACGTTACAAGAAAATAACCATGAGGTTCCTTGATGGGCGATTACACAAAGGAACGTGTTTAGAATTAGGTAAAGCCGAGAAGCGTAGGTGACGCACGCTACAAGGAAATCGCTAACACATATAACGCCAGGCTTGCCACGGTAAGGCGGCCAGTCGGACGCACTGCTGTCGTGTCCATTTCTTATTCTCGCCGATGCCGTTCATCCTTCGGGAACCCCCGGACCTGCTGGGGCTGGACTCCGGCACCTTCCGGAAGGCTTGGGTCTGGTGTGGGGGAATGAAGGTAAGCCCTTGATGGGTTTTTTTCCTTCCTCCCTTCCTTCCTCCTTTCCTTCCTTCCTTCCTTCCTTATCCTTCCTTCCTCCCTTCCTGCCTTTCTGCCTTCCTGCCTGCCTTCTTTCCTTCCTCCTTTCCTGCCTTCCTTCCCTCCTCCTTTCCTTCCTGCCTGCCTGCCTGCCTGCCTTCCTCCCTTCCTGCCTGCCTTCCTCCCTTCTATGTAATAATACAAGTGCCTGACTCAGTCATTTATTGCAGAGGTTCCCATTTCGAAGATGGCTGTCTCCAGTGAACACACTGAGAGCACGCAAACAACATGATGTGCATGGCCAGCTGCGACACATCTTGATTGGTTCTGATAATGGACTATTTGGGCCGCTTGTCTTTTCTTTTCCTGTGCTTTAACTTCCTGGGGTTCTGTTTTGGCAGCTCACATGCGCTCTCTCCTTCTCCCTCTTCCCTTCCCCCTCTACATCCCCCTCCCTCCAACCCACACCCTGAACTTGTTTTGTGGCCACACCTGTGCTGTGTGATTTCCAGGCCTGATATTTTTAAAGTTTTTCAGAGTTTCCTGAGAGTCATAGCTGGAGGGTTTCTTGCAATCCTAGGAACCACCAGGGCAGGTCCAGGCACAACACTGGTTGTTAAAAAGCTGAGACCCAACAAAGCAGGTAGACGGTGGGGAGAGCCCAGGGCTGAGGGAAAGTCTCCAGGGCCCCCCCCCCCCCACACACACACCCCTCAATAGGGAAGTGGGATAGCAGCTGACCCGGCCTGACTTGAGTGCCAGGACAGGAAGCTCCCCCTACCTCCTCAGCGTCAAGCCCTGCCCTCGTGTAACCTGACACTCTGTCCCTCATCCACCCTCCTGGTACCCAGCCAGTTTACAACTTTTGAAAGCTAGGAAATAGAAACTTTGGAGAAATCGAAACTGCCAGGGGAGGGAGGAGTCAGAGCACCCTTCAGCATCCGGACCGCAGCCGCTCATCTCAGATGGTGAACCCCAAAACTCTTGCCTCTCTGGTAACTGCCTAAAAGAACCCATGTTGAAGGTTTTTCACAGAATGAGAGCATTTACCGAGGATGAATGTTATCTGAGTGACCCCTCTGTATGCCAGGGCAAACATATCTACACTTACTGCCCTTCTCTTGAAGCCAAAGCCCCTAACCCTAACCCTCACCCACACCTTGACCCTCACCCCTAACCCTGACCCTGACCCTGACCCTGACCCTAACCCATTCCCGTGCTCTAGATGGCATAGACCTTCCTGTTTTTGAACCTCTCGTGTATGTGGGGTTTCTAAACATACAAAATTAAATTTTATTTTCTCCTGTTAATCGTTCTCATGTCAACTTAGCCAAAATAGTTTTTGAAGGGTAGAGGGAAGTTTTTCCACGCTGATGCTGAGTGTCTGCCCCACAGAAGCCTCTGCCTTCTCCAAAGGGTCCCAGAAGAGAGAATGTTGGGAGCTCCGGCACATGGCGGGGATACAAAGGGCCTCTCTGATCTGGAACGTTCCACTGTGTCCTCTAATGCATTGGTACTGGGCCCACTCAGAGCTCTGACTTGGTGATCTTATTCAACCCTGCTTACGTGGGCGGGTCTGCCACCAGGTCAGCTGATGTCCATGTCCGCACCTGGCTGGCCCCACCACAAAGGTTCTCACGCAGAAGGCCAATGACGCCAAAATCGTTGTCAGAGGGAAGGGAGGTGGGGGGTACAGGCTTCCACTTATGGAATGAGTGAGTCACGAGGATGAAAAGCACAGGATAGGGGATACAGTCAATGACGTTGTCATATGTTGTGTGGTGACAGATGGCAGCTACACTTGTGCTGAGCCCAGCATAACGGACAGGCTTGTGGAATCACTATGTTGTACACCTGAAACCAGTTAACATTGTGTGTCAACTCTCCTTCAACTTAAAAAAAATCAATCAGTATAATACTCCATATTAAAAGAATGAAGAAAAAACACCATGTGATCATCTCAGTTCCTGCAGAAAAAGTATTTGACAAAATCCAACAACCATTCATGATAACACACACACACACACACACACACACACACACACACCTAGAAATAGAAGGGAAATTCGTCAACCTGATAAAGGACGTCTATGGACAACTCACAGCTGACGTTACACTCCATGATGAAAGACTGAACGCTTTCCCCTAAGATCCAGAACGAGGCGATAATGTGTGCTCACTCCACGTGCAGCCGACATTGGACTAAAGGTTCCAATCAGGGCAACAAGGCAAGAAAATGAAAAGTGGGGGCATCCAGATTGAAAAGGAAAAACTAAAACTATCTCTACATGCAGATGACATGACCTTATAATAGACAGTCTTAACAAAATCACTAAAAAAATTGAAGAGATTAGCAAAATTGCAGGGGACAAAAGCAACACATGCAAATCACCAACAACGAGCAACCCTATGATGTAACCAAGGAAACAGTTCCATTTACAACAGCATCATAACCCTAAGATGCTTGGTAAGAAATTTACCCACAGACTTGCAAGACTGGTGTGCTGGAAGCTACAGATGATTGCTGAGAGGAATCAAAGAGGCATAAATAAACAAAAGCCAACCCACGTGCGCACCCCTGAATTCTTGACACGGTTAATATGGCAATACTGCCCAAATTTATCTACAGTTTTGATGTAATCACCATCAAAATTCCCACTGCGTTCTTTGTTGTTCTTTTTTTTTTTCTTTCCAGAAAGGGTCAAGTGGATCCTAAAATTCACATGGAATCATCAGGCCAAGACAATCTGGACAAATCAGAACAAAGATGGAGGCCTGCACTTGGTGATTTCAAAACTTCCTATGAAGCCGTAGTGATCCAGACAGTGTGGCACTGGCGTGAGGACAGGCATACAGGCCAACGGAATACAATTTAGAGTCCAGTAATAACCCTGTACTTTATGGTCGACTGACATTCAACGAGGGGGCCAATACCTTTCCAAAATGGCGCTGGGCAACTGACATCCATGCTGAAAGGAATGGAGATGGACCTTTATCTTGCGAAGTATACAAACATTAACTCAAAATGTTTCAAAGACCCAATATAAGAGCTAAAACTACAAAACGGTTACACAGACAAAACGGTTCGATTAGGCAACGGGCTTCTTAAACATGAGACAAGCAACAAACAAAAATGGATAAATCGCACGTCGTCAGTGAATTAACACGTTTGTGCCTCAGAGGACTCTCTCAAGAAAGTGAGAAGGCGACCAGAAAACTAGGAGAGAATTCTTGCAATTCCCATATCCGATAAGGGACTGGTGTTCGGAATGTAAAAGAACTGTTACAATTCAACCAGGAGACAAACAGCCCGATGAGTAAAAGGACAAGGGCTTGACCAGACTTTCTGCAGGCCCATGAACGACCCCCAAGCAGGTGAGAAGGGTTCTCGTGGCAGCGCTCACCAAGGACCCGCGCCAGGCCACAAGGACACAGCACTGACAGTCACTGGAGCGGCTCTGACTTGTTTGCGGGAGCCCCAAGTGTTGGTGAGGGGAGGAGAAGTAGAAGCTGTCATACATGCTGTAGAAAGAGTCTGGCAGCTCCTCAGAAAGTCCTGACATGACTCGGTCCTTCCACGCCTGGGAATGCATGGGCGGAAAAACGTGTTCACACAAAACTTGCACGCACGTGTTTCCAACAGCATTATTCACAAGAACCAAAAATGTCTGCAAATTGATGACTGAAGAAGCAAATACATGGTACCCTTACCATACAATACCTGTCACCTGTCAGAAGGAAGGCAGTTCTGATTTGCGTGGCCACGTGGGTGAGCCCTGAAAGCATGAGCTCAGTGAGATAAGGCCAACGAGAAGGCCGCGGCCTGTGGGCTTACAGGCCTACACGGAATGCGTGACAGAAGGGAAATCCAACCACACAGAAGGCGGAGAGGCCCTTCTAGGAAGTAAGGTTCAGCAGATGTGGGCACTGCATCATGGGTACCTGGTTTCTTTTGCCACGGGGAAAACACTCAGGGCCACGTGGTTGTGAGAGCTACACAGACCGAGAAATAGGAAAAGCCACGTAAATTGTGCCCTTTTGATGGGTAAAATGGCAAACTTTTGTGTTAGGCAAATTTTACCTGATTAAAAATTAAATCATATACCCTTTAAATTAAATAAATGAAAGTAAATGAGGCACCTGGGTGGCTCAGTCGGTTAAGCATCCGACTTCAGCTCAGGTCATGATCTCATGGTTCGTGGGTTCGAGCCCCATGTGGCGCTCTGTGCTGACAGCTCGGAGCCCGGAGCAGCTTCGGATTCTGTGTCTCCCTCTCTCTCTACCCCTCTCCTGCTCACACTTTGTGTCTCTCTGTCTCAAAAATAAACAAACATTAAAAATTTTTTTAAATGGACAAATGAGAGTCAAAATACATATGATTAGGCAGAACACATCCCTCGGCAAGCTGTCAGCACGTTTTACCTTCGTGCACGAGAGGGGACGTCTTTAGCAGCCACGTGGTGGGAAGGGACACACAGGCGAGCTACTGCCCGCC